CCAGTTCTGACAGTGTGGAAGCAGGAAGCTGCCAGATATTGTGAGGTGTAATGTGCTGTCTGATTCCTCTCTAAGTGTTCTTAAACGATCGCTATTTATTTGTCAAGCCAAGCGTTGAACGCTAATTAAGGAAAAATGCTTTGAACTGCCGTGTGTGTGTGAGAGAGAGAGAGAGAGWGTGTKTKTKTKTGTGTGTGTGTGTGTGTGTGAGAGAGAGAGAGTGTGTGTGTAGTAGCTGTTAGAAGACGGAGGAAGTGTCATTGGGTAGTCAATCCCTCGCTGCTTGGAGTGCTACTGCAGATGAGTGTGTGAGTGTGTGTGTGTGATATCTGTCCCTGTGGTTCTTCTTGCTCTGACATCATTCTACACACACACACACACACACACACACACACACACACACACAACAGCAGGTGTTTATGAGACTCCCGCGTGCTGATGTGAATGGCCTCTTTGTTTGTGTGTTTGTCTTCTCACTACGGTTCTGCAACATGATTGGTCGTCTCAGGCTTTAACTCTGATAACTCCGTGTCCTCGTGGGTCTCAGTCATTATCTCTCTTGTAACTCCTTCACCATATCTCTCTCTCTCTCTCTCTCTCGGGAGGGAGGGAACGAAACCTCTAACCCTGGCTGACGCTTTTTTAAAACAGGATCAATCTGGCTCGGACATTTGTTCTCAGCCTCTCTGGGTGATTTCAGGAAAATGTCCCGACTTCAGTTCATGTCTGAACGAGTCGTGTGTGATGTGAGATTTGTGTTTCTGGCTCCAGAGTCCAGTTTAATTCATCGTCTCTGCTGGTTTTACTGTTTCAGGTAAAGCAGCCTCAGGGCCCCTCTCCCTCAGGAGTGTGTGTGTGTGTGTGTGTGTGTCAGCTGGAGCGAAGCTGGCATACAGGTGCGCCGCCGCCTCGCCAGCACTTCCTGGTAATTAATGACTTCTTCCAACCCCCCCCCCCCTCCTCTCTCTCTCTCCGTCTCTCATTGCGATAGTAGAAATTGATGACATGTGAGCATTTGCTTTTTCAGTCACTTGAGGACAGAGGAGGTGAGCGGGAGAGGAAGGAGATGAGGAGACGAGAAATGTGGGGGGGGGGGGGGGGACAAAACTTTATTGTCATCAAACTCTTGACAGGAGTCGTTCAACATTTTTGGTAAAATACCTTCCTGGTCGTCACGTGGGAAGATGACGTCTCCGTGTGGTCAGGCTGCAGCTAGCTTAGCTTAGCATAAAGACTGGAAACAGAGGGAAACAGCTAGCATGAACCCAACATTCAAATAATACTCCCGTCAACACTTTTAAACATGTTCATTAATAAGTTTGATAAATTTTAATACAAAAACCAAAATGTAAAAGAAATGGATAACATCAACATCACCATGACGATTCATTTGTATTATATGTTATACACACCCACCACCACCACTCACCATATGTGCCTTACTCAATCTTTCATTCTTGTCTTTCGCTCTTCTCTCTCTTATTTTTACTCTCCCTCTCTCCCTCCCTCCCTCTCTCCCTCCCTCTCTCTCTCTCTCTGGTAATCTATCTTAGTTAATATGGTCTCTGAGAGCAGCTGGGTTCCGAGGCAGAGTCAGCTCTGTGAGAAACAGACCTCTGGTTGTGTGTGTGTGTGTGTGTGTGTGTGTGTGTGTGTGTGTGTGTGTGTGTTTGAGAGAGAAACACACACACACACACTCTCACACACACACACACACACACAGAAAACAAGATCATGTAGAAAGAAAAAAGAAACAGAGCTGGAGGGAAACTTGAGTATTATCGCGACTGGAATGATATTTCTGTGACGATACTTATAAATGTTCCTGTGGGTCTATGCAGAGCAGGGCATTATGGGTAACTGTAGGTCACCATATGCACGCACCTCCCAAGTCTCAACATGTTCTCCTGTTGGGAGGTTTAACATTCGGTCGCAGGGTGTCTACTCTGTAACCGACTACAGTGTAATCGGATTACTTTTTATTCATGACGTCCACCACCTCGGTCCAGATTGAGCCAAATGACTTCTGCAGCTCAAGATGGCGCCCCCTGTGTGTGAGATAATGTGATAATATAACTTCATTTTTGTACGAGTGGACGTAGAGAAGCGTCATTCTTTACATCACAAGTCTGAAAATCTGCTGCTGCTTGGATTTGTTTTTCTTTCTCCGGTCAGACTCCTCAGAGTCGCAGAACTTCATGGAAACAAAACACTAACACTATAAAAAGTTATAGAAGAGAGTAACGGAGTAATGAAATGAGAATGACGGAGACAAACAGGTAAAGAGACACACACACACACACACACACACATACAGTGAGAGAGAGAGAGACAGACGGGTATTTTGTCTCCAGCCTCTGGCTCGTCTAGTTGCCGGGGTGACCGTCCGGCCTGGCTCGATGCTCGAGTGCTGGAAGAGAGAAAGAAAAGAACAGAATAGAAAGAAAAGCGCCACAATCAATGAGACCCTTTTTGTTTTAGTGGGAACCCCCTTTTACCC